AAGATGAAGCAGGATCTTGGGGCCATGTCAGGTTGTGGAATGGTGACCAAAGTTTGATGAGAAGCAGGACAGCATGGCTGGGATCTCTGTGGCCTAGTGGTTAAGGGCCTGACTACCACCCTGAAATCACAGCTGTACCACCTCCTAAGCAAATTGCAGAGCTTGCCTGGGCACTTAGAGCCATGCTCACTAGGCATAAGTGTCAGTTTTTATCATGTACCTATTCTCTTATGTGAGTGGTGTCATTTGAGTGGGTAGAGTCTGATTCTACAGTTGGACCTTCACTGCCTGTGAGTGGACCGAGGTAGAAGAGTGCTGGGAAATCAGACTATGGATAACAAAGTCTGGTTTCTCAACAGCCTCCTAATTAACAATGAATAACAGATATTGCAAATATTTTTAATTGAGGAAGGAATATATGTATCCAAGCAGCATGAAAAGGTATAGGGTGAAACCCCCCATTTCCATCTGAACTTTCTCTAGTTCTTTTCAGAATAGTTTCCTGAAATCATTCGGGCATGTATATCAGTGTCCTCTGATCTTTAGGGATATGTTCCAAGAACCCCAGTGGGTGCCTGAAACCGTGGATACTATCAAACCTGATATAGAATATGTTTTTCATTTACATACATTGATAAAGGTTAATTAATAAATTAGGCAAGTAGAAGATTAATAGCAATAACTAATAATGAAATAGATTACAACCATATCCATAATAAAAATTATGTGAATGTGGTCTCTGTCTATTAAAATAACTTCATGTACTATACTCATGCTTCTTCTTTAATATTTTCAGAACTTCATTGACTGCAGAAAATGAAACTGTGGAGATGGGGGGACTATTACACAAGTGTGTGTTTGTGAGTGTGTGTGTGTGTGTGTGTGTGTGATGTTTTCATACTGTTATGTACCTCAAATTAATTCTATTTAATTTATTTATTATTGATGATTTACCGAGCTCAGCATGTGCTATCTTATAACATATCCTGTTACATATCCTGTAACAACCTGTATGGTATCTGTTACTTGGATTGTTCTAGAGGTCAAAGGAAAGGGAGGCTTAGGAGGAAGCTATACAATCTGTCCAAGGCCACAGATCTGAAGATGGAAGGAGTCAGGAATCAAATGAAGTCTGCCTGATTTCTAAGTGAATACACTCCCCATTACTTCATGCTGCCTCCTAAATTCCCATTGGAAAATGCTTTCTGTGAATTTTCTTTTTTTTAAAAAATATTTTTATTTATTTATTTATTTATTTAGTTGTAGTTGGGCACAATATCTTTATTTTATTTATTTATTTTTATGCGGTGCTGAGGATTGAACACAGGGCCTTGCACGTGCTAGATGAGTGCTCTACTGCTGAGCCACAACCCCAGCCCCTTTCTGTGAATTTTCTAATTCAATTTCAGAAGGTCTATTGTAGGCTTTTGGTCAGTCAGATTTCCATTACTATAATAAAATACCTGAGATAATCAGTTTAAAAAGAGGAAAGATTTATTTTGGCTCACAGTTTTGGGGATTTCAGTCCTTGGTCAGTTGGTCTGTTGATTTGGGACCTGTGGTGCGGCAGCACATTATGATGGAGGGCATGTGGTACAAGAAGTCTTTACCACATGTCTGGGAGCTCAAGAGAGGAGGAAGAAGGAGCTGGGGTCTTGAAATCCCCTTTAACAGCACGCTCCCGGTGACCTGAAGAACTTCTCCTAGGCCCTACCTCTTAAAGGTTCTGCCACCTCCTCATACTGTCATGGGCTGGGAGTCAAATTTTTAATGCATGGGACTTTGAGGGATGCTCATCAAAACCCTATCATCTTTCAATGATGAAAGGTACAATTAGAAACTCAAAAGAAGATCTAGGACAGTTTTATTTATTAGATCTCATGGCTCATTCCCATCTCCAATGTCCACTTACTAATCAGCTCCTATAGAAGTTGTACTGGTTTCCATCAAACATGACTGGACTCGCTCCTAGGTCCAACTGATGTAAGCTGATTTTGTATATTTTAAGAGTGTATATTGGGTTTGCCAATGTGTGTGCTGGATGTGTATGTATGTTTGGGGTGTGTGTGTAGGGTGTGTGTTGTTGGATACTTGACTCGGAAAGGCCTAAGAAGCAGCCATGTTGTAGGTTTGCTCTTGGGAGCAGTGGAGTCAGTGGAACGAACCTTTGATTGCTTTGCTCCATGGTTGTGAGGACAGGAAAGAATAATACATATTTATGTTTCTCCAGCCTGAGGGTAGTCATAACACTGACTACATAGTCACCCCTGTCAGGGCCTCGAGAAGGCACAGGATGGCTATGGTGTCCTAAATTATGGATGCACAGTAAAATTAGAACATGCAATTGCTTTTGAAATTTAAAGAGAGCATGAATATGTTATCGGAGAAATATATATTGTAGTGATTAAGGGCACCGTCTCTGGAAGCAGATGGTCTTTGTCCAAGTTCTGACTCTGATACTTGCTGGCTGTGCATCTTTAGGTAAGTTAATGAACCTCTTTGTACATCAGTTTTCTTACCTGCAGAATGGAGGTAAAAGTAGTACCAGCCTCAAAGACTGAGGAAATAATACACGTGTTATAGTTTTGATAGTAGGTGTCTTACAAAAGCTCATGTGTGAGAGAATGCAATAAAGTTTACAGGTGAAATGATTGGGTTATGAGAGCCTTTACTCAATCAGTGCATTAATCCATGATAAGGATTTACTGGATGGTAACTATAGGCAGGTAGTGTATGGCTGGAGGAGGTGGGTCATTGGGACATATCTTTGGGGTAGATATTTTGTGACCTGAACTAAGTCTCTCTCTATTTCTTGAAATCATGTCCTCCACCATATCCTTTCACCTCTATGTTCTGCCTCACCTTGGGCCCCAAGGAGTAGAGCATGCTGTCTATAGATTAAGACCTCTGAAACTGTGGACCCCAAAATAAACTTTTCCTCTTCTAGTTATTCATGTCAGGTCTTTTTGTCCCAGCAGAATGGAAAAAGAAAAAAAAAATAAAAGGACTAAAACAACATATAAAAGGCTTAAAATAGCAACTGTTTTAAATACTTCATAAATGTTATCTGGTACTATTATGTGGAACAGAATAGAAAAATCACATTCATTTAAAAAGATAAAACAGCATACTTCAATGAATTTTTGTTCTTGCTGAAGTTAGCCTTAGAGTTTAAGAGGGAGCTGATGTTTTTACAACCAGCTGAGTTTACATGTTCATTCTTTATAGCAAAAAGCACTTTTCTGGAAAATTTGGCACACACAGTTTGTGCAAAATACATTATATTGGTCATTGTCATCATAGCTATTATCCTAAGGAATGTAGATTCCTCTGAGAGGTTGCTCACTTATTTTAATGATCTGACATTGTTAGTAGGAGAAACTTGCATCTTCTTGTTCAGAAGAGCCTTTTGAGGTTGTTTGTAAGGCTTAGGAGAATATTTGAATTAGACTTTTTTTTTTTTTTTAAGATTTGGGAGTTAACAAACGAGGACTGACTATTCTCCTTGTTGAGTGCATACTTATTCATCAAGTAGCTATGAATGGCTTTTGGTGATTTCTGAAGTCAAATCCACTCTTGGAGGGGAAAGATTAATGATTAAGAAAGAGTTTCCAAAAATTGGCTGGGCAATAAATACATGAAAATAATTTAATCTCATGAAAACCTCCCAAATGTAAATTTAAAACAAATAGATCATATTTCCTGCTTTTAAATCAGTCAACATGGAGAAACTGATAATACTTGTTGCTGACAAGGGAATGGTGAGCTGGGCATTGGCATAGGGTTGGGTTGCACCCTATCTTGTTAACAGATCCAGATCTGGCTGCTCACTGCTCCAAAGCCAATACTTGGGAGAGAAGAGCCAGTAGGAAGGAAAGGAGGTTTACTCAAGGGTCAGTCCTGAGAAGAGGGAGGGGCCAGCATCCTCAAAGCTCCATCCTGGGGAACTCAGGGAGATAAAAGAGGTGTGGCAGACAATGGGCAGGAAGCCTATATGCTGAGCGAGGTCCTCCTCATCCAGGGTGTGTGATTCCCCGACTTTTCCCTCTCTGACTGAAGCATCTCAGTTGACCTTGGCCTTGCAGAGTTGGTTTCTGTAATTCTTCAGATAAACATATGGCTTTTCTGAAAGTGAAACCTCAGGGAAATTTACATGCTTTGTGTTGATGCACAGAACTATAGAATGAAGGGTGTTACATATTCTGATGTTATCTGAAGGTCACCAGATGTTCTGAGTTCTGTAATTCTAAAGAGAGATTATTTAGCAGTCAACAATATAATAATTTAGAATTTAGAATGCTGGGCAGAGGGAGGAGAAGTAATTCTGCAAAGGACAACCCCAAAGGAGTGGCCACTGTTATCATCTCCTAAAGTGAAAATGGCATATAATCAATATCATCCTTGAATTAGACCATAAGTGCAGCACATGTGTTTTGTGTTTTATATTTACCCATACTACTTTGTTTTAAGACCTTTTTATTTTGAAAATTTCCATTACACAGGGAAATAAATTGGGTGTGGAAAAAAAATCTCTCTGGAGTCTTCACTCAGACTTGGTCACCATCTGCATTTGCCACATCTGGCTCATCAACCAGGCTCCTGCCTTTATTTTCTTCAAATATTTTAAAGCAAATTATAGACATTGTGCCATTATGCCATAATTACTTAAATGTACATTAAAAAGTGAAGGGGACTGGCATAATGCCATCATTGCATGTAACAAAATTTATTGATGTCATCTAATACCAAGTTTCCTTTATCTGCTAAACAGTATCTTTTAATAGTCGATTGGTTGAAATTAGGATTCCCAAAGGCCCACATCATTCACACTAATTCTTATGTTGAACATAGAGTTGAGATGCTCTAAGCCAAATTAGAGGAAGAAAGGCAAGGACAAGTGTTATTAATAGTCAATCATAATGGCTTAATGGAGGGAATGTTTTGACACAATTAATGTGTTTTTCTATTTTGCTTCCTTTCTTTCTTGACCTCTGCTCTAGGTGACTTGAAGCATCCATCATTCTGGAGGAAGACCAGGATTTGTAACAGAAGGAATGCAAAAGACAAAAACAAACAAAAATCTTCTATTGGAATACAATATAGAATTATTCAGAAGAAAAAACTTTGTGAACCAGATGTTGTCTTCAAAGATTTCTAAATTTTCTTAATTTTCTCCTTTAGAATTTCAACAGTGCAGCCTGATTGAATCAATGCATTACAGTCTCCTGATGTGTAGGTAAAATGCCCTTGTTTTACATTAAGGCATCTCTAAGAAGTAGAGTGAAAGAGGGAGGGCATCATGCAAGGGCCTGACCTTCCGGGGCCCCATGTGATAGGGGAAATATGGTAGCTAGGATAGGAGAGAGAGAGGGGGGGACCGGAAGCAGGGGGGAGAGAGAGAGAGAGAGAGAGAGAGAGAGAGAGAGAGAGAGAGAGAGAGAGAGAGAGAAAAGGAAAAAGAGGTGAGAAAATCAATTTAGATTATGTGTTCTTCCAGCTTTGGCCCAAATAGGGAGCATCATGGATAGTGGAGGTATTACCAAGGGTAGAAGGGACTCTTGTCCTTCATCTCATTTGAGACTCTACTGAACTGATTGCCCTTCTGGGGTATGGCCACATTCACATGGTGTGGCCCGGCAGAGAAATAACTCAAGGTTTAGCTTTCTCGAGCCCACCTTATTTCCAGTGAGGTGTAAGGAACCCCGAAAAGAGCAGGAGTTTATCTGGAAAGCATCACCAGTGGGAGTTGTCATGGTTGGGCAGGGTCAAGGTAGCTTATAGTGAGGGCTGCATGGTAGACCACCTGGGGCAGGCTAAGCAGGAGACATAGCAAGGAGAATGGAGTGTAGACCCAACAGAGGAGTCCAAAGGACCAGAGAGAGCTGGTGTGAGGGGCCCAGCCAGGCAACCAGTGGGAGAAAGCCTGGACTATCTGACTCTCATACAGATACATACATTGGCTGTGAATCCCGTTAGGGCAGCAGCAGCTGGATGGCTCAGGGATTCCCACTCAATCTTGCTGTAACAGCCAGAGGAATATTATTCTTCACCTGCCATGAAGTCACGTAAGCTCCACCTCTCCTCTTAGAACCAGATGTCATCTTGGAGAGGAGCCAGGAAGGGAACAGAAGACTGATGTGTCTGAGAGACTAAGCCTTTATTTCCCCTTTGAGAGTAAACATTCTTTGAAGGGACCATTTAAATTATGGTGTTATACTGAGGTTCAAACCTGATTAGCCATTGAGGGAATCAGATTGCATTTGTGAATATTTTAAAAAATCAAATCCACTCTCAGAGGACAAAGATTAGCTAGTTTTGAAAGACTTCAAAAAATATGCTAATATATGACACCCATCCAAATGTATCCACCCAAATGTAAATGAAAACAACTATCCTATACTTTTGTCTTTGGAATTTGTAAACATTGGAAAAATATAGAAATTTACTGGTTAGTAGGAAAAAAGTCATGGGCAAATCAGGTTCAGGAAGCACAATTAACAAGAAGATTGAAGAATGTGCAAGTATCAGGTGGAGGAGGGAGGAGGACCATCCTTTCCCCTCCCTTCAATCTACTAAGAAGGCACCTTGCTGTTTGCAGGCCTGAGCTGCGGGCAGTGGAGGTGGAGACTCTAATTATTCCATGGAATTTATATTGATTGCATCAAGACATTTAGAAAATAGTATATGGAATATTTTCCCTAAAATTATATAAATATGAGCTCATGAGCACTGTCCTAGTTTTCATCTACAGACATTGGAGGAATTTTCCCTATTGAAAAATATTTCAAAGGCTGACAGGAGATACAAATAAAAGAACGCAACTCGTGAGTGTGACTTGTTCACCACACCAGTACACACAGGGCAATTCCTATGGACTACTGTTAACTGAAAAGGCAATACATAGATTTATGAAATAAGACCCAACTATGTGAAAACATTAAGAGAGAAGGGAGGAGGGGATGGCAGAAATAGTAAAAGGTTCATATTGCTTTGCCCTGGAAAGGAAGGCCTAAGGACAATCTTGTCCTCTGACCTCCCCACTGTCCTTCGTTCACACCCATTCTGGGGTCTGGTGGTCTCCATCTCAGAACCATAACAGTTTGGGGGGATATTGGTTTCCCGTATCTCTGATAGTCAGACGTGGTAAGAGAACCATGTCTTTATTTAATTTTCTCCCTCCAGGGCCCAGAATAGGGCCTAGAACACAGTCAGTATAGAATAACGTTAAACATTTGTGAAAGAAAAGAGACGTTATTGAAACAAAAAGCGAATGAAAGAAGTTGAGGTCAAGTGCTTAATCTGAGTCCCTCTCAAAGAGAGTCTGCTCAATTTTCCAAATTGCCTCTAGCCCTGCATTACTTTCTGTTGTGCTCATCTTAGTTATTTATACATGATGTGAGGATAAGACCTATAGAATGATAATAATATCAGCTATTATTTACTGGGCACCTACTGTTTGTTGGGCAGGGGCCTGGGCAGGCCTGCACACTCTCTAAAGTACAGCTGGGTCTTGTTACAAGGCAGATTCTGATTCAGCAGGTGTTATGGTTTGGATGTGAGGTGTCCCCCAAAAACTCTCATGTGAGAAAATGCAAGAAGGTTTAGCAGAGAAATGATTGGTTTATGAGAGCCTTAACCCAATCTGTGAATTAATCTAGATGTGATGGGATTGAGTGGTAACTGAAGGCAGGTGGGGTGTGGCTGGAGGAGGTGGGTCCTTGGGGGCATGGCTTTGGGATATATATTTTGTATCTGGTGAGTGAAATTTCTCTCTGCTGCCTGATCATCATGTGAGCTGCTTGCCTCTTCCACCATGATGTTCTGCCTCACCTGGACACTGGAGGAATGGAGCCTGCTGTCCATGGACTGAGACCTATGAAACCATGAGCTCTCAAACTTTTCTTCCTTTAAAATTGTTATTGTTAGTTTTTTCTTTTCTTTTTTCCCTTTTTTCTTTTCTTTTCTTTTAATTCACAGCAGCGAGAAAGCTGACTGAAACAGTAGACCTGAGTGGACCTTAGTTGTTGCATTTCTAAAAGGTGATGCCTATGTTGCTGGTCCCAGGGCACACTCGGAGCAGCAAATGCAAAGGGCTTTAACTCATTTAATTCTTTAACCAATCCAGGGAGGCAAGTCTGTCACTCTTTGCAGTTTGCAGTAATAAAACTGAGGGTCAGAGCAGGTGAGTGAAGGTCACCCATTTATGAGTGGCATTGACATTTGGACCCCGTGCTGCCTAACTTCAAAGAGGGAGACCTTTCTAAAGGGCCACACTTTGTTCAGAGGTTTCTTTTAGGAACTATCTTTTCACTGATGGACTCTGGAAGGGGAGAGAAAATTATTTGTGTTTCTAAAAATAAGCCTGGGCTGTGTTTTGGCTCTGGAGGAAGGCAGGGTCTGGGAGGGATTACACTTGAGAACACATCCTTTTCCGGAGCATGCTGGCTTGCTCCTCTTTCGGCTCAGGCCTGTGAGTGAGGGGCTCTCAGATCCAGCTGGGGGAGGGCCTGGCTGATCCCTTACTGCTCAGTGGGACAGCACCGGAATGGAAGCTTTAGCCTTAATGGGAAAGACCTGTTTTCGGGAGGAAGCAAAGACAATAACTCACATTTCAAGCACTCACAGGTTCGTTAGCTCATCTTTTTTTTTTTTTTTTTAGTTCCGGAGATTGAACCCAGGGATGCTTAATCACTGAACCACATCCCCATTTTTATATTGTATTTTGAGACAGGGTCTTGTAAGTTGCTCAAGGCTTTGCTAAGTTACTGAGGCTGGTTTTGAACTTACAATCCTCCTGCCTCAGCCTCCTGAGCTGCTGGATTTGCAGGTGTGCACTATCCCACCCATCTTGTTAGCTCATCTTGACAACTTTCCTGCAAACAGACTTGAGAACTGGTCTTCTGATTCTTCCAAATCCTGTGTGACACTACACTGAGTTCTTTGGGGTTCATGAAAGGAGAGTTTGGGGAAGATCCAAACATACTGCTCTTGGATGGAGGGAAATCCTGAAGCAATTTCCCTGGGTTAATGTAGCCACGCGTGAGCTAATGGTTGCGAGAGATCACTGGACTCTTTAAAAGTATTATACAGTGTGTATAATAATTGTGAGTATACATGTATTTATATAGAATGTGGAGCATCATTATTTATGAATTTCCTATTTGTAAATTTTCCTACTTATGGAAATTTATTTGTAACCCCCAAATCAGTATTCATGGTACATTAATGTGTATATGTGGTGGAGTGTGCTTGTGTGGGCATGTGGCACTGGAGATCAAACCTAGGGCCTTTTGCATGCTAGGCACACACTTTACCACTGAGCTGTACCCCAGCCCCCATGATGTTTTTCAATCACTTGTGGACATGTCACCTGATACATGCTTTCCTTGCTGAGGTTGAACAAGATGTGGTAACAGTGGCTGCTCCTTAGGGGATCCTCCTTGGCAGAGTTACTTGTACTTCTCCTCCCTGGTCCTTTGGTAAGGATTATGCCCTCTTGCCCAGCATTCTCAATTCTAGAGAGAAGCCACACCTAGATGATTAAGAGGTTAACTGCTAAATAATCTTTCTTCAGATTTATAGAACCTAGAACATCTGGTGACCTTTGTAACACCCCTCTTTAGTCTACTTCTGTGCATCAACTCACACAAAGTATCTAAATTGCTGTAAGGTTTAACTTGCCGGAAAAATAATATGTCTGTTTTAAGAAAATGCAGGAAGTAGCCATAGGAGGTCCCTTGTGATGTTTAGCCAGAGGGGGATGATGGACACTGCTCTCAGCATGTGGAGCTCCAGCGCCGCTCCTCCTTTCCCTCCTTATAAAAGCCGTTTGCTTTCCTGAGCCCCCGGGATGGAGCTTTGCAGCTGACAGCCTCTCCATCTTCTTCAGGGCTGACTCTTGAATAAGCCTGATTCCTTCCATCAACTTTTGCCCCCTGAATATTGGCCTTTGAGTGGCAAGCAGCCTGGACCTTCCTCTGGTAGCAGTGATGCTCTGCCTTTTTGTTACAGCTCTTACTGGAGACAAGTGTCCTTATGATCTGTTTAGTGCCACATGGTTCACACTTTGGTGCTTTTTGTTGGTGATCTTGTGGCTTAAAATGGCTCCCAGGAACAATGCCAGAAGAATATAAGAAGACTGTGATGTGCTTTCTGGGAAACAAACAAACAAACATCAATCCCCACCCCTGTGAGCTAGCTTTGTTTAGGTGTGTGTTTCACGACTGTCGGATTTGAGTTCGGTGTTAACGAATCAATGATATCTATTAAATAAGGATCTTTCAACAGAAGCACATAAATCAAGGTTAGACACTCATCAGCTGATGGACATGCTGGGACTAGAAGCTCAGTGGAATCTAACTTGTTTTTTCTGTGGGTACAATGGCTTGGTAGTCATTTAGTGTTCATGGTGGCTTAATAGAACACAACTTCTGTAAATGACAAGAGCCAAGTGCCTATCTTTCAGGGGCACATTGACTGTCAGTTTCTTTCTCCTGTAAGTCTATTCATTAGTCTTTCTTGGGTGGGCCTTGCTTGTGAACCCTAGGAACCATGGCCAGGGTCAGAGGCAGTGGGGAAGGCCACGTGGGCTAGTACGTGAGTGCAGATTCTTCCTATGAAGCCTTGAGCATCCTTGACTAGGCACCCACCCCTGTCCTTTCCACATCTATAAAGGAGTGCCTCTGCTTCCAGGTGTGGAACAGGTGATGATATGACTCCTAACTTAGGGTTTGTGGTGAGGATTAGGTAAGTTAATGTGTCCTAAGTACTTAGAAAAGAGCCTGGTAAACAGGGCCCGGTCTGGGGTGAGGTGTCTGGAATTTATGGGGACACTTGTGCTGCGCTTGCTTGCTTTCTGTGTCCTAGGTGTCTTATTTCACCCTGTTTCAGCCCTGCTGGCAAATGACTATTAGTTCTGCTATTGTTCATGGGGAGTCCTGTCTTCTGTCCCTCTGGACAGATTCTGAGGTCACTGTCAGCAACCTGAGTCTACCTGAGTCTTGGCCATCCCTCTGGGCAGGGCATATATGTGCCCTCTCTGGGCTTCTGTTCTTTCATCTTTTGAGGGGAGATGCCATCATCCCTAGCATCCTTGACTAGGCACCTACGGGTGAGGGTGGCATGAGGATCACATGGGATAACTGGAGGACAAGCTTGTGTAAACTGTAAAGTACAGGAAAAACAGGAGGTGTGATTACTCATTTGCAATGCCCCTTTCTGGCTTTGTCACCCATCAAGTGCTCTCAACTCGATCTGAACCTGCCAACGGCTTTAGTCTGCATCACCTCTCAGGGAAATGAGTTCCATATGGCTGACCTCATGGGGAGGAAGGAGAACATTATTTGTATTTCTCCAAAAACTACATTTAAAAATCTGATATCTGGGAATTTACCTGTG